TATGATTTTTCCTTAATAACACACTTGGGTCATAAGGAGTTGAAATAGGTGTGCAGTCACTGTACCCAAAGTGACTCGGCACCTTTTCCACATAGTGAGATTGCAAAAGAGTTTCCCCACCATTTCCTTCTCTAAGTAGCTTTATATTAAGAATAACATCACCTTCTCCCAAATCTTTCATTTCAATGTTACTCAACAAAAATACTTTCACTTCCTCAAGCGCATTAATATTATTTCCAAAAATTAGTATATCATCCACATATAAGCACAAGATCACACCATCTCCCCCACCATACCGATAATAAACATATTTATCAGCTTCGTTCACAGCAAAGCCGGCTGATGTCAAAGTTTTGTCGAACTTCTCGTGCCACTACTTAGGTGCTTGCTTTAGGCCATACAAAGATTTCAATAATTTACGCACTATTCCCTCTTGACCATTTGCTATAAATCCATCCGGCTGATCCATACAGATCTCTTCCTCAAGCTCTCTGTTTACACCAAAATTTGAGAAGAGAAGAACGCGGGGACTCAAAGCTTACAAGATTGTATCATTAAGGGATCGATCAGATGTGAATCGATATCAGCCGGTTTTGATGCGGTATCGGAAATCGGCTATTTTATAGATGACGTCAGCAGATAGCACCAACGGATTATGTACAGATGGTGTCGGGGGAGGAAAATATGTCAGACTCTACAAAAAGGAAAGGATTAGGGTCCAAGTTATCTTAAATTAGGAATGTTTTCTTTTATTTCAAAGATTGTAATAAGTCTTGTTTGAGTAGGATTCATGTTTAAGTTCCAGGTATAAATATTGGACCCCAGCTATTGTAAGAGAGATCCAATCAATCAATACCAATTACTTTTTTTGGCTTCACGCCAACCCTTAGGAGTAGGAGTACTGTAGATCTCAGCGAGTTCTTCAACAAGCGGGGCTGCATCGATCCGATCGACCTCCGGCTTATCTGTAAGTACCGTCATGGCTTATACTTTTGTTTGTAAGGCTGCATTGGTCTGGCCGACCTCTTACGAGCTCTAGTATAAGTTAGTTATCGATCCTTATTTAGTTCAAGTACGTCTGCATCGGTTAAGTTCGACCTCTACTGCTCGAATTAGATTAAGGTCAAGTTATCGGCTCTACCTAAGGGTGGCATCCTTCGGGTAGATTCATTAAGTTATCGATCTTGTGGATGTTCTTGTTGTCATTAGTTTCAGCAATATCGACCTACCCGATCGAGATCGATCTAGATTGGCCTCACATCCTTTTTGTCCATCGTTTATTTTGTCTCATTGCGATGGTTCTTACTTTAAACGATGGATTATATTTTATCGGCCGTTCTACTTCGATCTTGATCATGCATAGTACGTGGCTAAGGCATGTCTGATCTTGAGAAGGTTTACTAGCTAGTTGAATCTGGTCTATAGCTTGCTATTATGGCTGCAACGATCCGGTCGATCCCCCACTATTAGCACTTTAAATCGGAGTATGCTAGTTGGTAGATTTGCTTTCAACCAGGCGTGACCTTAGCTGTTTGCTATGCCTGCATCGGCTAAATAGCCGATCGCCCGTACTTTAACGCTTATAGTGTGTCTTCATGATTCTGTTAAATGTGAATAGATCTGTTTATTTTAAAGGTTTGATCTGTTATGTCTATCATGGCTGCCATCGATCCGGTTGAACCCCACTGTTAAGGATAACAGGTTAGATCTAATGAGTTTATAGATCTGTCCACATTAAGCAGTCGATTTCACATGTTATAATCCTTTTTCTACCTAAAATGGCTATTTTAGCCGATTCGCCTGTGCTTTCACAGATACGGCACGCTTTCATAAACCTGTTGAAGTATGGTCGGTTCTATGGATTTTTTGGTTCTAGACTATCATCATCATCATAGCTGCATCGATCTGGTCGAACCTCACTGTTGATGGTAATAGATTAGATCTAGACAGTTCATAGATCTGTCTATATTGAACAGTCGATTGTTTGCGTGGCATATCCCTTTTCACTGGATTCATTGGCTCTACACCACATATTGATCAAATCCAATTTAGCCAGTGATGCATCTTTGACGCATATATGTTAATAGCTTAAGGGAAATGATCATTAAAATTGGGTGCATTGTTTTCATTACGATAAAATCAATCATGTCCCGCGAGCGTTACAGTCCTTAACAGGCCATTTCTTCTCGTATCGGCTATTTAGTCGATTTTCCCGTATGGCTGCTCCCGAAGCATCACACTTGGAACTGTCTGGGCAAAACCAGCATGTTCTACCCCAAATTACTGATAAACTTTTTCACCTTGTCAATTACAGGTCAAATTGACTAGCACACCCTTGGGAATTTGGAGGATCGACTGGTCCTGCGTTGAAGCTCGGTAGATCTCCAGATCATTCTAGCTTGCTGCGTGTCCACCCGGCGCGGCTATCACGTTTTCACACCAACACACGTTCTGGCACGTCTGATGGGACCCCACAATCATCATGACAACTCACAACAACTGGGACATTCTAATGGTGCCTTATGAAGACCTACCTGATGAGGATAAAGATGTCATCAGTAAAGCTATAGAAGAATTTTAGAACAAGTGTTTGTTGTCCTACACCAAGACACGTGACAATAAAGTTATTCAGAAATATCCACTACCAAGAGTTTTGATGCAAGGACAGTCAGATACAGACGAAGCTAATGATATGTGTTTCTTCGTAGATGCTGTAAACAAATCTGTTCATGATGCCATGTTGAACCATAATACAGCTTTCTTGGACACATTCCACAATACCATGAAAGAGGTGTTTCATGGATGTCCAATTGATTAGGTTGGACTGGCTTATTACAACATTCCACATCCGTCGATTCAGAGGACTAATCAAGCTGGTATTAGCCATCAAGAAGCAGTAATAACTAGTAATAATGATTTCCAGGCAGTTCAAAGCTCATCTGAGCAAGTTCAAGGTACCACTACTAATCAAATAAAAAATAATCCTAGATCATCAGTGCAGTATGTGCATCAGCCGATAGGGCAAGTTCAGAATCAAGTAGTTAATTTTGGCACATCAGGCCAAATACCGTCGTCGGCTTAAAAAATAGCGCCATCAGTTCAAATGATTCGTAGAGATACATATCCCAGCATCTACAATCAGAAACTTCAAGCAGTAAATCAACAAAGGATCTAATAGATAGAGATTCCACAAGGATATCATTATGGAACAGATTACAATATCCTTCATATGATTCCAAATCCAGGGGTATCAAATTACCCAAAATTTTAATCCGCAGATGGGTCAGCAGTTACAGAGAAATCCAGATTCAAATGTTGATGAGTTGTTGCTCAGAGTAACCGAATTGAATTTGAGCAAGTTTGCAAAAACAAGAGAAAAAAAAGGGGGTTTTCTTCCCTTCCTTTTCAACCCAAGCCAACAAAAGTGTTGACCCAGTTGCGGCCCGCTCGGCTAGCCCAGCCACGGGCTTGTGAGAGCCCTGCACTCTCTCCCTGCTGAGCCCACCTAGCAGCCCAACCTGCAGCCTCCCGCGCAGCAGGCCCGATCAACCTAAGACATCGCCGGCCCAATCGCTTGGCCACGCGCGCCATACACAAGCTACGACAGATGATGCACCGCAGTCGCTGAATCTCGGGTGCCACCTGTCAGCTGCCCGTGGCCCTTCTCCTTCCTCCGTCTACAAACTGCCGCCGCCGCCGCTCCTGCTTTCTATGTCGTGCATACGGCGGCCGGGGAGGCCACTATGGCCACCGTATTCAACATGGTCGGACAGGATTTGTTGGTTGTGGTACCGACTACCGACAAGGATTTGTTGGATGCGACTAGAGAAAGCAAGTACCGACTACCGTTAATTGGGGCATTGGGCCAACCCGTCGTCCGGTTGTCCCCGCCCACGGCGCCGGCAACGACGACTCGACGAGAGGTGAGATGGTAAGGGACAATTAATTTCGGTGCTGACTGCTGAGATACACTTCTTACAATCTTACCTCGCACGGTAGCTTTGAATTGATTAGCGTGGTAATTCCCAAGCTTGTTTCTGTTAGCTTCTGCTACGGATTCAATGTTGCTTGATTTTCATTAGTTTGTGGGTGACTAGTATTCCAAGGCCTTGTAACCATTTTTTTGCTGGATGTTCCAATAACCTTAATCTTGCAGAGTCGTCTCGGGTCCTCTGGGTTTCAGAGGAATGTTTCAGCTTGCATCTGCACGCTGCTGTGTGCATTGGCTGTCACATCTAGTACATAATCTTTATTGTTTGTTGGTGCTCACAAGATCAGAATATGCATACATACATAGGTGCTTACTACAATGCTATATATCTTTCACCTGAATGGATGCAAACGTTCCTGCAAGCTGCAACCAGACCTGCTGGGATCGGAGTCGGACCTGAACGAAGAACTCTATTGGATCTGATCTCAAGAATAAACTGTGTATATTTGATTGGAGAGATTATTAGTGCGTAATAGGCATAGCCATATAGTTTACATGGAGTAAATGATTCTCAGTTATGACTTTTGTTTTACAAGGAGTGTAAATTTCAGTTTGTTGGGAACACTGCATTATTAATTCCATGTAGATGCCCTCTGCTGTCTGCTCATCAAAGCAGAGCTTCATCAGAGAACAAGAGGTTGCTTCAGAAAAATGGGCCTTGGGCCTCGATTACAAGGAAGATGAGCTTGTCTGTACAATGGGCTTGGGCCTATTGTTATCACCCATATCTCCTTACTTGGGCCGATGCCGCCGATGACGACCACGAAGAGGTGAGGAGACACCACGTCCGTTTGTTTCCTGGGAGATGCTACTTATAGCTTGATTAGCGTCTCGTTTGTTTCTCCTGCAGTAGGAGTGAATTAACCTTCTGTTGTTTTTTTTTATTTTTTGAATAATTGAATAATATTTGCAAACCATATAATGCTGTTACAGTGTTACTTCATGAAGTTACAGTGTTAACATCCTTATTTCTTCAGCATCCGTGTTCCAGAACACCTCAGGGCATTGGTCATCCCACATGGCAGTTGTTGCCGGAGCAGAAGGGGACACTGCTGCATGCTTTCTCGTCTGCTTGATGAATGCCCTGCGGCAACGCAGGTGCTTGCAGTGGTGTCTCCGTCTCCCTCCAAATCTGATCCTTGGGGAATAATCCATCGGTGCTCTCAAGGGCACTACCTGTGATGCAGCTACTGACATTGACATCGTGAGTGTCATCACAGCTCATACCATCGACAGGAGCAGTGTCAAAGAGGCAGCTGGATTGGTACGTCAGTGAGAAGGATGAGGACGAAGGCGACACGCTCATCTCCCTCTCCTGCGCTTTCGTTCTCATCCGTGTCTTCCAGTAGTTCTTGATGTCGTTGTCGGTGCGGCCCGGCAACCTCCGGGCTATCCTAGACCAACTTCACATCATTGAAAACTCAGTGTGAGTTCCAGCTTCACCCAAATTCCGTGACTGAGGAACGAAACTGATGTCTTGAAAATTGTTATTGGGACGATCAAAATAGACCTGTTACCCCAGCGAGCATGGAGCTCGATGACTAGGCGTTCCTCCTGCGGCGACAAGCGTCCATGCTTGCGGCTGGGGTGGAGGTAGTTCACCCACCGTAGGCGGCAGCTCTTGCCCGTCCGGTTGAGGCCTGTATGAGCATGAGCATAGATAGAGAGAGCGTGAAGCAAGTACTGTGAAGTGAAGAGGGTTGTTCTTGTTCAGACAGGATGGTATGTACGACGTGTAGCTACCTAATTTCCTTAATCTGCTTGGAGGATTAAGCGTGTAGCTGCCTAATTGATTGCTGGCTTAATCTGCTTGAAGGATTATTTGAAATAAAAAAGAGTAGCTACCTAATAATCTGTCGTCAAAAATACTGTTCTGGCTGATTGTTGTGAGAGGAAAATACTGTTCTGACATGACGTGAATAGTGATTCCGTGAGTTGGCTGGCCAGCCAGCCAACCGGCTTAAAGCCAGCCGAACACGCCCTGTAGTAGTTCCACAACCCCTCAAACCTGAGACCTGGGCAATGGAGTCCCAGCGGCGGTCACCGAGAAGGCGGACAGTACATACCAGTTGCATGTCCTCCTGCTCTGTCCATGGCCCCTTGCGCATCTCCTCTCTCACTGTCACCATGCTAACTTTGCTTGCTTCGACCTTGGATTCCAGTTTCAGCGATGGTCACCGAGAAGGGGATCAGAACCAGTCTGGCTGCTCTTCTTTCCATTTGTGGTTGTAGATTAATATTCCAATTTCAGCTAGTTTACATCCTTATGAACTAGGTCCAGCCTGATAGAAACAAGGTAGCTACTAGTTGTATTAGGGACAAGGAAGTCACCATTTTGCCTTACCTGTGTATATGGGGCTGCTGGTGGCTTTGCCACTACTCGTTTATAGTAAGACACTCTCAATTTAATAATAAATAAAATAAAAGAGGAAGCACTTGCAATGTCTGTCATTTAGAGAATCTCAGGTATCCTCATCTTATCATCATTGTGGGCTCAGAGTTGGTAAAAAGTTGGCTTCCCTTGGTCTCAAGTCTTTAGTGTTTACTGGTGCTGGATTTATGTCATATTTATACCTGTAGGCTATAGCACTTCAAATACCTTTAACTTGTCCCATCATTAGTTTTCCTTCTTGCAGATGCATCTTCATGGACACTATATATAAGTGCGCTGCTTCAGGCTAGGAGTGGAGGTTTCTCCACAAATCAGGAAAAAAAATATTGTCCCTACTTTTATTTTGAGGAAACATTGTCCCTACTTTTTACCACAGGTGAGTTATAATAACTAACCATTTAGAAATTCTTGATGCTGATCTGTATCATAAAATTGTTTCCTATTTCTTACCGCTGGTGACATGTCTGCGGTGTTTTAACTACTAGCTAGCACGTATCAGAAGTTCAGTGGTGAAGGTTTTTAGTAGAACTGGCAGAATGTATCAACTAATCCATATATCTGTTGGATTTTTTTTTAGTGATATCAGAGATCTAATTGAATTGATCCATTGTGACAAATATGTAAAGCTTACTGGACATGTGAAAACTCTAGTTTGGTTTTGGTGAATTGATGAAAGCCTAAGTGCTAACCTAGTTTATCAAAGTGTTCACGAGATAGGTAGCACATTCCAAGTGGTGAAACAAATGATGATCATAACATGATGACGGTGATGCCATGGTGATGATCAAGCGCTTGGACTTGAAAAGAAGAAAGAGAAAAACAAAAGGCTTAAGGTAAAGGTATAAGTGGTAGGAGCCATTTTGTTTCGGTGATCAAGACACTTAGCGAGTGTGATCATATTTAGGTTCGATAGCCGTACTATTAAGATGGGTGAAACTCGTATCGAAATGCGGTTATCAAAGTGCCACTAGATGCTTTAACTCATTGCATATGCATTTAGGATCTAGTGGAGTGCTAACACCCTTGAAAATATTTGTGAAAATATGCTAACACACATGTGCACAAGGTGATACACTTGGTGGTTGGCACATTTGAGCAAGGATAAGAAACTTCACCGGCGGAGTGTCCGCCCGTAAAGTGCAGACAGTCCGACGGTGCCACCGGCGCACTGTACAGAAAAGACAGGGTTTCACAGAGCGTAACAGACGTGTCCGGTGGCTTAACCCAGGTGAACGGAGGTCACTGTAAGTGACCGGACGCTGGTCTCTGTAGGACCGGCGCGTCTGGTCAGTGGCAGCAGTGAGCGTGCGGTTTCGGTCTCATGACTGGAGGCTAGCGCGAGAAATGATCGGACGCTCAGGGCCTGAGTCCGGTCAGTATGACGTATGATGACATATGCAGCGCACTGGGGAGACGTTGAATGACCGGACGCTGGGTGAGTCCGGTCGTGATTTTTCGCTTCTGGTACCTTACTGAAAATAACCGGACGTTGGTGTTGATGCGCCCGATCACTTTGAGCAGCGCGTCCGGTCACTACTTAAATGTACTGATGGCCATTGAGATCGGGCGATCAGTGTTTGAAGCCGATAACACGTGGCAAGCATCGGGCGACCGGACGCTGGTGTCCTGCGTCCGGTCGATCTGATCGGAGCGTCTGGTCACCCCGAGCTGTGCCCAATGAAGGAGTACAACGGCTCTATTTCATGGGGGCTTCTATTTAAGCCCCATGGCCAGCTCAAGCTCACTCTCTTGGCCATTTGCATTGACATAGCAACCTTGTGAGCTTAACCAAAGCCCTCCCACTCATCTCCATCATAGATTCAACATCTTTGTGAGATTGGGAGAGAATCTAAGTGCATTGCTTTAATGTTTGCATCTAGAGGCACTTGGTGTTCATGTTTCGCTGCGGGATTCGCTTGTTACTCTTGGTGGTTGCCGCCACCTAGACGGCTTGGAGCAGCGAGGATCGTCGAGCGGAGGTTGGTGATTGTCTCCGGCTCCGATCATGGTGATTGTAAGGGGTCCTTGACCTTTTCCCGACAGAGAGCCAAAAGGTACTCTAATGAATTGCTCGTGGCTTGTGTGATCATCATCTTGTGTTGTTGTGTGGCACCCTATTGAGGGTTTGGCGTGTGATGCCAATTAGTGCGTGAACCCCCAAGTGAGTGAATCGCCACAACGAGGACTAGCTTGCCGGCAAGCAAGTGAACCTCGGTAAAAAATCATTGTGTCAACATTTGATTCCGATGTGATTGGTCTTCATTGATATTAATTCTTGTGATTGATTGGTTCATTCTATGACTCGGCGGTATAATCATCTTGCTCACTCTCTTTATATTACCGCAAACTAGTTGTCAAGCTCTTTAGTGTAGCTAGTTGTGAGAGCTTATTGGTTTGGTTAGTGTGGCTCTTTAGTTAGCTTTTGAGAGCACACTAATTTGGTATAGTGCCATAGCCACTGTGTAGTTAGAAACAATAGAAACTAGAATTGTGGTAGATGGCTTGCATTTTTGGTAGGCTCGTGCAACACTTGCTTCGCCTCATAATTGTCTAACCGGTTTGTTAAGTGTTGTTGTAGAAATTTTTAATAGGCTATTCACCCCTCCTCTAGCCATTAGGACCTTTCAACATGACCGGCCGGGCATGGTAGGTTTGGATAATTATGTTAGTGTAGATTATTCATGTTGTATCTTTGACTTGTTTTTTTTATAAGGAAAGCTTTATTAATTTCAAGATCGTTACATCGAGATGATACAAAGACCTTGAAACACTTCCGGCCTCTGTATAACAAGGATACACACAGCCTTACAAAAGATCTTAAAACAGAAAGACACTAATAACACTCAATCCGAAGACTAGACTGCCACCCATGTGCCCGAGTAAAAAACTCCTTGGCCACCCGCGCCAATTGTTGAGATGCCGCTACAACCAAATCTTGTGAAGTTGGCTTCTGTAGAACAGCCCATGTATGAAGCCAATGTATAATCGAGTAGATAACCTGTAAAAGAAAAGAAGTACGTTTCTTTTCAAAAACCAGGTCATTCCTACATAACCAAAGAGACCAACACGTAGCTGCCGCTCCTAGCAAGGCTAACGATTTTAGTTCTTTACTTAAACAGCAGAGCCAAGAACCAAACATGTTTGATACACTATGCTGTTGAGAGAAGCCTGAAGCCGCCTGGATAATAGACCAGACAGCACGATCGAAAAGACACTAAAAAAACAGGTGCTTAATTGTCTCATCTTTGTGACAAAAACAACACTGTTTGCTACCATGCCAATTACATTTAACTAAATTGTCTTTGGTTAACACTACGCCTCTACGTAGGTACCACAGAAATATCTTGATCTTCAATGGAGCTTTTAGTTTCCACAAGCCTTTATTAATATTAGGGACGTCATTATGGATCACTGCCAGGTAATGAGATTTGACTGACAACTGTCCATTAGGATGCAAGTTCCAGCAAAATTCATTTTCTTGCTGGCTTAACACAATATTCGTGATGCGCGGAAGTAAGTTGTTCCAAGCCACTAATTTGTGTCCAATTAGATCTTTTCGCCAGGATAGAGTAGGTGGAGACGTGCTTAGCACTTCTACTACAGTACCTGTTTATGTTGAGCTATGTTATAAAGGCAAGGATATTGTTGACGCAGAGTTGACTGTCCTAGTCACCTATCTTCCTAGAATCTTACTTGTGATCCATCTTAAAATATGAAGGTCCCAAAACGCAGAAAATCTGGTTTAACCTTCATCAGGCTAGCCTAGAAATGCGAGTCCCCATTCTTCCATTGAACTTGAGAAAGAGGCTTAGATCCTAAATATTTTTTGCATAGCATTTGTTGCCAAGTACCCTCAGTTGTGAGCAATTTGAAAAGCCACTTACTTAGAAGTGCTGTGTTCTTGATGTCTAAATTGTGAATTCCAAGCCCACCTTGGTTTTTGGGTTGGAATAATATGTCCCATTTGGCTAATCTGTATTTTCATTTTTGTTCATCACTTTGCCAAAAAAAATCTTGACCTGAAGTAGTCTAATTTCTTGAGAACTCCTCTTGGGATCGTAAAAAAGGACATCATATACATTGGTAAGCTGCTAAGAACTGAGTTAATCAGCGTCAAGCGCCCACCATTTGACAGATGTTTTCCTTTTTCAGCTGCTGAGTCTTTTTTCAAAACGTTCTTCTACTCTTTTCCAATCTGCATTTGAGATCATCCTATAATGTATAGGTATGCCCAAATACCTCATCGGGAAAAGCTCCTTGATTACAACCAAAAAGCTCTATATATTGGGGCAAAGATTCTTGTGCTGCTCCAAAGCAGAATATTTCACTCTTGTGCAAGTTTATTTTAAGCCCTGAAAGTTGCTCGAATGCACAAAGTGTTTACACTAAAATTTGGGAGAAAGAACACGGGAACTCGCAGGCTTCCAAGATTGTGCCAATCAAGGAGGATCGATGTCAGCCGATTCAGATACGACGCTGGAATCAGGTCTCTTGGGATGACGTCAGCGGATAGCGATGATGAACTACGGTTGGCACCAGGAAACTACATATCGGACTCTGCAAAAAGGAAAAGATTAGAGTCCAAGTTATCTTAAATTAGGAATATTTTCGTTTATGCCAAGGATTATAACGAATCGTGCTCGAGTAGGATTCATGTTTAGACTCCGGGTATAAATATCAGACCCCGGCTATTGTAAAAGAACAATCAATCAATCCAATACACAAGTTATTTACTTT